AGAAGAATCAATGTGACTTCCGGGCCGGTCGAAGCACACCTGATCAAATATTCGACCAACGGCATATTGTTCAACAATTATGGGAGCTCACTCATCAGGTGTATATATGTTTTTTGGACATAAAGAAAACCTATGACCGGATCACCCGCAACAATCTGTGGGCAAGCCTGCGAACATATGGGTTCGATGGCCAGCTGCTACGGGTCATTCAATCAATACATGCTGATAACAGGGGCTATGACAGTAAATGGCATTAAGTCGAGATCTTTCAGCTTTGGCATTGGTCTCCGTAAAGACCGCGTTCTGTCCTCTCTCCTGTGTGCTTTGTTCATGGATGGAAGAGTCAGGCGGAGACAAAGCAATGAGTGCATCAGCAAAGGTGATGTCAAAACGAGACGGTTACTGTTTGCAGACGACCTTGTTTTGCTGGTATCTTCTAAAACTGATCTACAGCGCTCTCTGGTAAGGTTCGCAGCCGTGTGCGATGTTGACGGCATGCGTGTCATGAACGTATCTAAAACGAAAAGCTTAGTGCTTTCTCATTTTTTTGCCCTTGCTCACTTCAGAAAAACGGAGAAGCAGTGGAGCAGATGGAGAAGTTCAAATACCTCAGCGTCGTGTTTACTGGTGATGGAAAATTTGAGGAAGAGATCGACTGACGGATTGGAGTAGCCAGTGTCGTACTGACTGAACCGGCCCGAACCACTGTGACTAAAGCAGAGCTGAGTTTGAAGACTAAACTCTGGATGTTCGAGTTTCATCTCCATGGACATCTACGCTCATGAGTCGTTAACTATGATTGGAAACATCGTTCCTGGGTACATGCAGTTGAAATAGGCTTTCTGGGACCGAGTTGGTGGCCTTAAGCGTCTCGGCACGGTCCAGAATACAAATATTCAAGATAGCCTTGGTGTACAGCCGCGGCTTCCTCAGATTGAGAAGTTACAGCTGCTATGATTTGGGCATGTGTCGCGAATGCCCAGAAAGGAAAGCGAAGCAATTATTTCTTGGCCAGCTGTTTGGCAGAAGGATCACGGGACTGAGAAGATTAACCTGATGCAAATATCTGAAAGGAATCTGCTGTACACTCTGATTGTCTTCTACCGAAGCTGAGACTTTGGCACATGAT